GTTGAAGTTCATGTTGACATTAGCGTTGGCCATTGATCTACAAGACATATTTGCAAAGGTTTTAGACTAAGTTCATGATAATAAAGTTCTAATCAAATTATGAACTCCCACTTAGATTAGACATCCCTCTAGTCATCTAAGTGTTACACGATCCGAGTCGACTAGCCCGTGTCCGATCATCACGTGAGACGGACTAGTCATCGTCGGTGAACATTCTCATGTTGATCGTATCTTCCATACGATTCGTGTTTGACCTTTCGGTCTCCGTGTTCCGAGTCCATGTCTGCACATGCTAGGCTCGTCAAGTTAACCCTAAGTGTTTTCGCTGTGTAAAACTGTCTTACACCCGTTGTATGTGAACGTAAGAATCCATCACACCCGATCATCACGTGGTGCTTAGAAGCGACGAACTGTAGCAACGGTGCACAGTTAGGGGAGAACACTTCTTGAAATTTTTGTAAGGGATCATCTTATTTACTACCGTCATCCTAAGTAAACAAGATGCATAAACATAATAAACATCACATGCAATTATATAGTTGTGACATGATATGGCCAATATCATATAGCTCCATTGATCTTCATCTTCGGGGCTCCATGATCATCTTGTCACCGGCTTGACACCATGATCTCCATCATCATGATCTCCATCATCGTGTCTTCATGAAGTTGTCACGCCAACGACTACTTCTACTTCTATGACTAACGTTTAGCAATAAAGTAAAGTAGTTTACATGACGTTATTCAATGACACGCAGGTCATACAAAAAATAAAGACAACTCCTATGGCTCCTGCCGGTTGTCATACTCATCGACATGCAAGTCGTAAATCCTATTACAAAGAACATGATCTCATACATCACAATTCATCATTCATCACAACTTCTGGCCATATCACATCACATGATCAATCGCTGCAAAAACAAGTTAGACGTCCTCTAATTGTTGTTGCATCTTTTACGTGGCTGCAATTGGGTTCTAGCAAGAACGTTTTCTTACCTACGAATCACCACAACGTGATTTTGTCAACTTCTATTTACCCTTCATAAGGGCCCTGTTCATCGATTCCGCTCCAACTAAAGTGGGAGAGACAGACACCCGCCAGCCACCTTATGCAACTAGTGCATGTCAGTCGGTGGAACCGGTCTCACGTAAGCGTACGTGTAAGGTTGGTCCGGGCCGCTTCATCCCACAATACCGTTGAGCAAGAAAAGACTAGTAGAGGCAAGTAAGATGACAAAATCCACGCCCACAACAAAATTGTGTTCTACTCGTGCAAAGAGAACTACGCATAGACCTAGCTCATGATGCCACTGTTGGGGAACGTTGCAGAAAATTAAAATTTTTCCTACCGTTTCACCAAGATCCATCTATGAGTTCATCTAAGCAACGAGTCAAGGGAGAGAGTTTGCATCTACATACCACTTGTAGATCGCGTGCGGAAGCTTGCAAGGTGATGAAGTAGTCGTACTCGACGTGATTCGAATCACCGATGACCAAGTGCTGAACGGACAGCACCTCCGCGTTCAACACACGTACGGGACGGGAGACGTCTCCTCCTTCTTGATCCAGCAAGGGGGAAGGAGAGGTTGAGGAAGATAGCTCCATCGGCAGCACGACGGCGTGGTGATGTTGGAGAGGCAGTACTCCAACAGGGCTTCGCCAAGCACACAACGGAGGAGGAGAGGTGTTGGGGAGGGGAGGGCTGCGCCTTGGAGGGTGGTGCGGCTGCCCTCCCCTCACCCCTCTATTTATAGGGGGAAGGGAGAAGGGGGCCGGCCCCCTAGAACCCATCTAGGGGGGGTGCGGCGGCCTAGGGGAGAGGGGAGAGGGTGGCTTGCCCCCCAAGCCAAGGGGGGGCGCCCCCTCTAGGGTTCCCCCTCAACCCTAGGCGCATGGGCCCAAGGGAGGGGGGTGCGGCCAGCCCACCAGGGGCTGGCTCCCTGCCCCACGCAGCCCATGTGGCCCTCCGGGAGGGGTGGCCCCTCCCGGTGGACCCCCGGAACCCTTCCGGTGGCCCCGGTACAATACCGGTATGACCCCGAAACTTCCCGGTGTCCGTTTGACAACTTCCCATATACAAATCTTTACCTCCGGACCATTCCGGATCTCCTCGTGACGTCCAGGATCCCATCCGGGACTCCGAACAACATTCAGTAGTCACATACTAGTCTTCCTAATAACCCTAGCGTCACCGAACCTTAAGTGTGTAGACCCTACGGGTTCGGGAGACATGCAGACATGACCGAGACGCTCTCAGTCAATAACCAACAGCGGGATCTGGATACCCATGATGGCTCCCACATGCTCCTCGATGTTGTCATCGGATGAACCACTATGTCGAGGATTCGATCAAACCCTGTATGCAATTCCCTTTGTCAATCGGTACGTTACTTGCCCGAGACTCGATCGTTGGTATCCCAATACCTTGTTCAGTCTCATTACCGGCAAGTCACTTTACTCGTACCGTAATGCATGATCCCGTGTCCAACACCTTGGTCACATTGAGCTCATTATGATGATGCATTACCGAGTGGGCCCAGAGATACCTCTCCGTCATACGGAGTGACAAATCCCAGTCTCGATCCGTGTCAACCCAACAGCTATTTTCAGAGATACCTGTAATGCACCTTTATAGTCACCCAGTTACGTTGTGACGTTTGATACACCCAAGGCACTCTTACGGTATCCGGGAGTTACACGATCTCATGGTCTAAGGAAGAGATACTTGACATTGGCAAAGCTCTAGCAAAACGAACTACACGATCTTTTATGCTATGCTTAGGATTGGGTCTTGTCCATCACATCATTCTCCTAATGATGTGATCCCGTTATCAACGACATCCAATGTCCATAGTCAGGAAACCATGACTATCTGTTGATCACAACGAGCTGGTCAACTAGAGGCTCACCAGGGACGTATTGTGGTCTAAGTATTCACACGTGTATTACGATTTCCGGATAATACAGTTATAGCATGAATAAAAGACATTTATCATGAACATTGAAATATAATAATACTTTTATTATTGCCTCTAGGGCATATTTCCAACAGTACCGCCCTGCCTCCACGGTAGTATCGCTTTGGGTTCCAGCCCCAGCCCCTTTTCTTCTGGCACGACAGTACCGCTGAAGGGGAGCGGTAGTACCGCTTATGAGCGGTAGTACCGCCGTGCCTCCGCGGTAGTACCGCTCTCTGCGGGGCTGAGTGGGGGATAACGGTTGGATTTTCCCCCTCCTATAAAAGGGGGTCTTCTTCCCCTTTGAACCTTATCTTTTGAGCTCGTTGTTCTTTCCCCATTGTTGACCTTCTTCGAGCTTGCTAACTCTCAATACCTCCATGGATTCTTGCTAGTTTTTGAGGGAAAAGAGAGAGGAGATCTAGATCCACATTTCCACCAATCACTTTCTTCTCTATGTGAGGGGAACCCCTTGGATCTAGATCTTGGAGTTCTTGGTGTTCTCTTTCTTGTTCTTCCTCTCATTTTCCTCCCTAGTATTAGTTGCTTCGGTGGGATTTGAGAGAGAAGGACTTGGGCACTCCGTGTGCCCTTGCCATTGCATATTGCATTTGGTGCATCGGTTTGAGTTCTCCACGTGATACGTGGAAGTTACAAGTTGAGAAGCTTATTACTCTTGGGTGCTTGGTACCCTTGAGCTTGTTCCTCTTGGGTGCTTGGGCGCCCTAGACGGTTGTTGGTGTTCGGAGCTCAATCATTGTGGTGCAAAGCTTCGGGTAAGCATCGGGGTCTCCAATTAGGTTGTGGAGATCGGCCCGAGCAATTTGACGGGTACCGGTGACCGCCCCCAAGGGTTGCCAAAGTGTACGGGTTCGGTGACCGCCCCGAAGGGTTGCCATTTGTACGGGTTCGGTGACCGCCCTCAAGGGTCCCTTAGTGGAATCACGGCATCTTGCATTGTGCGAGAGCGTGAGGAGATTACGGTGACCCTAGTGGCTTCTTGGGGAGCATTGTGCCTCCACACCGCTCCAAACGGAGATTAGCATCCGCAAGGGTGTGAACTTCGGGATACATCGTCGTCTCCGCGTGCCTCGGTTATCTCTTACCCGAGCCCCTTTACTTATGCACTTTACTTTGTGATAGCCAAATTGTTTCTTGTCATATATCTTGCTATCATATAGTTGCTTATCTTGCTTAGCATAAGTTGTTGGTGCACATAGGTGAGCCTAGTTGTTTTAGGTTTTGTGCTTGACAAATCAACCGCTAGGTTTATTCCGCATTTGTTCAAGCCTAAACCGTAATTATTTTAAAATGCCTATTCACCCCCCCCCCCTCTAGGCGACATCCACGATCTTTCAGTGTCGGTGTATATCAAGTTGAGACTGCTACCCCCGTCAACGAGGACTTATGTTAGGTGAAAGCCGTCCACTATGGGGTTGAGAACCAAGGTGGCGGTGCCTCCGTGACGGATGCTCGTCGGGTGGTCCCTTTGGTCAAAGGTGATCGGAATTTCCGACCACGGGCTGTAGGTTGGCGCTGCTAGCTCTACGGCGTAAACATCTCAAAGCGCGTGTTTCCATTCCTTCCTTGTGACGTGTGTGGCGTAGATCATATTCACGTCTTTGAAAAACCCAAAGGACGATGTTCTCCCCGGTGAGGAAGGGGCGATGATGGTGGTGCGTCTCAGGATCACTTTAGTGATTGTAGTGTCGCTAGGTGGCCTACAAACATGAATGTGATTGTTACTTCTCATGCTCTTTGTACTGCCATGATGTTTGATGAATAACTCAGAAGTTTTTCTAAAAATAAAATAAAAAATAGAGGGGCATTATGTCAAATGAAAAATTGGAGTTCCAAGTTTCCAAGCATAAAAATCCATAGTAGTACACATCGCGCGATGGCTATTGGACGACAAATTATCTGAGCCAGTGACCAACTGACCATGATCGATCGATCTACATACATACAACAATCTCATGCACGCATGCCGTTTGATCTTGAAATGCATCTCACAGTCGGCGCGTTACATACATAGCTTAATTATGTAGCAACGTCGTCGACGGAGGATCTTATGTCGGGCGCGTACCAGCCGAGCTCCTGCGCGACGGCGGCGACCCTCTGCTCCTGGCCCCGCGAGTCACCGATGGCGGTGGTGAAGGGGTAGACGAAGGTGACCTTGGTGGCGACGCAGCGGTAGGCCACCACGCCGGCGTCCTTCTTCACAAGGAACTCCATCACGTCCCGGCCGAAGCCGCCGTCCACCTCCGCCTGGATGTAGTGGCCTGCATACACACACATATGAACCCCGCAAAAAGAAAAGGCATACACACACATATGAACTCCATCGCATCTTCATTCTTGAGCTAAGTGTAACGGAATTCAGTACTATGTAGTTTGGTCCAGCTAGCTGACCGGTCAAGAAAGTTGCAACTAATTTAAATCCGAGTGCGTACCGTGGGGAGTTTGCTGATCAATGTTGAAGCTGACATTCTTCTGCGTCTTGAGGATGGCTTGCCGCAACAACTGAATGAATGGGTGGATTGAAATTTTGAATTAGCTTGGAATCAGTCAGTGAAAGACATATGCTACATTCAGCCACGCATGGTGGGTGGATACCTGAGCGGCAGCGTCGGCGGAGGTGGACTCCGGGATGATGAGCGGGGAGGCGACGGAGGAGGAGGCGCCGACGGTGGGGTTGGTGCAGACGCACCCGGGATTGGTGGAGGGGCATGTCCGAATCTTCCTGCATCCATCCATCCATCGATCATACTCTACTCATACGCGTGTGGTGACTGGAATGGATAGCAAGAAGAGTGGACGGTCAACTAATCCATGGAAGGTACCTTACCCTTTGGTGTCGAGGCCGAGCTGCAGTGTCCGGGACTGGGAGTAGGGCGTGGAGAAGGGGTTGGCGGCGGCCTGCGCTACTGCAGGAACGACGGCAGCGAGCGTGAGGGGTGAGGTGGACAAGAGCAGTGCTCTCCTGGTTGTGGCCGGAGGAGCAGAGGGGGAGGAGGAGGGAGCCGTTGCAGCGGCGGCAGCAATGGAAGAAGAAGAAGACGACGCCAGCGGCGGCCTCATGTCAGTCCAGCTAGCTGAGCTCGCCTCTTGTTTTCTTTTCAAGAAAAGAAAATGTTTTTGTTTGCAACTGCACAATTATCTTGGATCGTGGGCGGATCTTATCTCTCCAGGGTGAAGCTGGTCCACAAGCCACATGTGTATATACTCTAGCGATCTAGTCTCACTAAATGGATCTTTTTTTCTCAGCTCAACTCAGCTCGTCGGATTCGATCGTTCCGGACGGCTGACCGATCGAGCTCGTCACGTGGGATTGGATCGTCGACACGACATGCCGGCGGCCACACTAAGCGATCTACCACTAGCTAGCTAATTCATATATGCAGTGCTTGATAATTGTGTGATCGCAGTTTGGCCAGCACATGCATGCATGTACGCTACCGGACGACCTCCCGTGAGCGATCGAGCTGCCGGCTGGGACATCTGGTTCGTGGCTGGTCTCCGTCGTCTTCCTGCGCACCAAACTGTGGGCTCATACGGCGGTCCGAGGTCGAGCTTTCTAGCTAGGCGGCAATGTGGTTGGATTGAGAGCATCTACAGCCCCATCCTTCAAACTGCCCTTGCTCATCGGTCACGAAAACGCAACTCAATTACACCCCTCAGAAAATCATTATACATGTCCGGACTCTCCAGCATCCCTCAAACTCAGCACACATCTCTCTCTCCATTCGCACGGAACGCTAGCTACTTGCTAGTCCACTTCACTTTCGGTCCACTCCGCTTCGCTTCAATCCAACCGCAGTTCATCTCCGATGATCTTCGGCCTTCTCCGACATGACAGACAGTGGAACCGAGTCCGGCAACTTGGATCCATCGACTGAGACCTCGACCCGTGTGAGACGGGGAGGAGTTTGCCATCCACATGGATCTCCTCATCATATTGTCAACATATACTATGTACAACAAGTATTCATCCCAAAACAACTCCATGATTTTTTTAAACAAACACAACATCCTACTACTTTGTACAACAAGAACAAGGAGGGGTGGGAGAGTAGAGAAGGAGGGAGGAAGGAGTGCTGACTACCTCATGTTTTAGCTCTGCTCGTCGGCATCGCGCCGGTCATCGGCGTCCGTGGTTGGACAGTTGGGCGAGAGCGTCTGCTTGCGGGAGGGCCTCCTTGTCTGCCGGGACGAGCAACTCGACGGGGGAGCAGAGGCTGGACTGGCGCGGGGGATGGAGGCGGAGGGTCGGCTAGGCGTACGGCGCTTGAGGGCCACAAGCAGCAGCTGCTAGGAACCCTAGCCGTCGGGGTCGGGAGTAGTGGTTTCTCTGCTCGTTTAGAGGCGATTGGCTAGTGGGTTTGCTCATGGTCTTCTAATCATCCCATCGTTTTTCGCTTGGGAGTGGCAAAAGTAGGTAAATAGTACGCAATTTCTAGAGGACGGCTGAACGGTTCGCTAAGAATCTCGAGAAGTTGAGGTAGATTGGCTGTGAGATTTGCACCACGTGGAAGTTATAGGTTTTACAGAAGCTGATGTCAAAATTTTCCCTTTGGTTAGCTTCTAGCTTTTTGAAAGCCGAAGTTACAAAAATAAGCTCAACCAAACACAGCCTAACTCATGCTTCAAAACTGTACTAACTCATATTTTAAAATTGTACTAACTTGTGCTCCCCCATTTTGAAGCACCACTGTGCTACCATGAAAACACAGTGTACTAAGTTGTGTTCCTACATATTGAAGCAGAATTGTGCTCCCAAGAAGAAACACGCATGTGTTTCGCAAAGTGTGCCAACTTTGTGCTCCCGTGATGCTTCGCTTTTGAAGGAGCACGGTTGTGCTTTCACGCAAAGAATCGGGCGAGGATTTACGGCACGCAAATGCGGGGGCACTCGGGTTCTGGTGGAGTCTTTTTATTTTGGCTTTTGATTTTCAAAGTTTTATATCTTAAAAAAAATAAGTTATGTTTTTATATGTGTGTTTCTCGTGACTGACGCTTTGAAATAAGAATCATTTTTAATATATTTTGACGACTTCTAAAAATATATGTTAAGTTTCAATGTTGAAACTTAGTACGAGCGACCGATAAAAATCAATTATTTTGTGTCTACGACTGACAGGAAAAATTACTTAAAATTTATCTCTGCAACTTGTTGAAACTTGGATTTTTAGATGCAAAAAACCATAAGTTTTATCGTTGAAACTTTAAGTTTTTCAAGGGATTTTCTTGTTGAAATCAATTATTCCCATTTTCTCGTTCTTTCGGTCCTCTGCTCGGTTCCTATACATGCAATGCTAGTGCTTGCTCTTCCGATGAAGACCATCCATGCCATGAACAAGATCATCCGAGGATTCTTGTGGTGCGGCAAAGCCCAAGAAAATGGTGGAAACTGCTCTGTTGCATGGGAGACAATCTGCACGCCCAAATGGGCAGGTGGTTTGGGCATACCCGACCTTGCATGGTTGAATGTGGCCTTGGAGGCAAGATAGTCGTGGCTACAGCGAGTGGATCAGCAAAGGCCGTGGAACGAGTTCAGCATTGCGGTCCCGAAAGTATCATCAGCTCTATGCAATGTCGCAACCAGGATAATAGTAGGGGACGGGAATCTAACCCTCTTCTAGGAGGATCATTGCATGGATGGATCCTGTCTTAAGGAAATCGCGCCACCGGTCTATGAGGTAGTCACTCCACGCGCAAGGAAATCAAGATCGCTCAATGATGCCATCTCTTCGAGTGTCTAGGCAACTTATATCAAACCAAACATAGGGCTCGAGGGCCTCTGGCAGTACCTTCATCTATGGCAGAGGGTGCAAGAAGTAACGCTGCAGGAAGGCGTGGATGACATCATATCTTGGTCTTGGAAGGGCGACGACAAGTTTTTAGTCCGTTCAGCTTATGCTGTGAAGTTCGTTGGTAGAAAGGTGTCGGCCACAGCGCAATTCACGTGGAAGTCTAAAGCACCATTGCGCTGCTGCTTCTTTCTATGGCTAGCCATGAAGAACAGGTGTTGGACAGTGGACCGCCTGGCGCCGCGAGGCCTACCGCATCCGGATGCATGCTCGTTCTGCAACCAGCAAGTGGAGACTTTGGACAACATCGAATTGACATGGGTCTTCGCAAGGACGGTATGGAGGACCTTGTGCACCACGATCGGCAAACCGTCCTGGACGCCCACGGGCCACGGCACATGACACATTGGCAGGTTGGTGCATGAACAAGCCAAAGAACACGCGCATCATCGTAACCATAGTATTATGGGAGCTTTGGAAGCATCATATTATCGCTTCTCCCTCGCTTGACGGGCTCATTGAGAGGATAGTGGCGGAAAGGAACGACTGGCATCGTGCTGGATTGCTTAAGGGAGACTAGAACGGCGTAGCAGCCAAGCTATTAAGGTGGGCGAGCGGCGAGTAGTCCTAGATTATGTTCTTCTCCGAGTAGACATGGAAGCTTGGCTCATGATAGTTTATATGTACTCCCTCCGTTTTCCTTTACTTCGCGTATAAAATTTGATCAAAGTCAAACTACACAAAGTTTGACCAACTTTATATCAAAAAATATAAACATCTCCAATACTAAAACTATATAGTATGAAAATACATTCAATGGGGCATCTGATAATATTTGTTTCATATTATGAATATTGATATTCTTTTAATATATAAAGTTAGTCAAACTTTATAAATCTTGAATTTGACTAAACTTTATATACAGACTAAAAAACCGAAGGGAGTAACATCTATGGTGGATTTGGGTTCTCTACCCATCTTTTTCTATAAAATATGACACCCAAGTTGTGCGTGTTCAAGAAAAAAATTGGATGACTTTTGGAAAGATTTCTTTTTTGAAAAGAATGTTTTCATTTATACACTGGACCCAGCAATATAACTCCGGCACAAATTCACCGCAAACAACAGGGGTCTCGGCCAAATCATAACCATACCTCGCAAGAACATGCGCTACACTATTGCATATATGACGACATGCTAAAAATGAAAGCACTCAAAAGATATAAAACAGCGACTCCTTGCTTCTCTAATCAGGTCCTCGATCTCTAATAAATGTGAAAGATTTTTTTGTCACACGAGATGAACGGCCGACTACTTACTGACACGGTCGTAGCACGGGAATACGCAGGGCCCAACAGTACATGGGCCCAACATATTAAAGTATTCTAGGAGTGTATACCGCCAAAAGCAGCCAGGCCAGCCCAACTTCCCTTGCTCTCCGTGCTCCGCTCGTCCACTCCCTCACTCACTCACCGCCACCGCCACCGCCGCGGCAATGCCGCCGCCGATGGGAATGCGGGCGCTGCTGCTGCTCCTGCTTCTCGCCTTCGCCGCCGGCACGTCCAGTGCCGCACCTAGCGGAGCAAGCCCGATCAAGAACGTGGTGGTGCTGGCGCTGGAGAACCGGTCCTTCGACCACATGCTGGGCTGGATGCGCCGCCTGCTCGGCCTCCCCATCGACGGCCTCACCGGCGCCGAGTGCAACGTCGACCCCACCAACTCCTCCCTCCCGCCCGTCTGCGTCTCCGCCGACGCCTCCCTCGTCGTCCCCGACGACCCTGGCCACTCCTTCGAGGACGTGCTCGACCAGGTCTTCGGCTTCCGCCCCAACTCCACCGCCGGCGCCGCCGACCAGCCGGCTCCCCCCACCATGTCGGGCTTCGTCCGCTCCGCGCTCTCCGTCAACGCCCTGCTCTCCTCCGCCGTCATGCGGGGCTTCACCCCGTCCCTCCTCCCGGCCTTCTCCGCGCTCGCCGCCGACTTCGCCGTCTTCGACCGCTGGTTCTCCTCCCTCCCGGGCCCGACCCAGCCCAACCGCCTCTTCCTCTACTCCGCCACCTCCCACGGCGCCGTCGCCCACGACAAGTGGAACCTCCTCCGCGGCTACCCGCAGCGCACCATCTTCGACTCCCTCGCCGCCGACGGCCGCCGCTTCAACGTCTACTTCAAGACCATCCCCACCACCCTCTTCTACCGCAACCTCCGCACCGTGCGCGCCGCCGCCCAGAGCTTCCACTTCTACGACTCCGCATTCAGGGACCACGCCCGGAGGGGGCGGCTCCCGGCGCTGTCCGTCATCGAGCCCAGGTACTTCGACCTCACCGGCACGCCCGCCGACGACGACCACCCGGCGCACGACGTCGCCAACGGGCAGAGGCTCGTCAAGGACGTGTACGAGACGCTGCGGGCCAGCCCGCAGTGGAACGACACCCTGCTCATCGTCACCTACGACGAGCACGGCGGCTTCTACGACCACGTCGCCACGCCCGTCGCCGGCGTGCCCAGCCCCGACGGCCTCAGGGGCCCCGTCCCCTTCTTCTTCAAGTTCGACCGGCTCGGGGTCAGAGTGCCCACAATGATGGTATCGCCGTGGATCAAGAAGGGGACGGTGGTGGGGCGGCCGCCGAACGGGCCGACGGCGACATCCGAGTACGAGCACTCCTCCATCCCGGCCACCATCAAGAAGATCTTCAACCTCAGATCCGACTTCCTCACCAAAAGGGATGAATGGGCAGGCACATTTGAGCACATCTTCACCCAGCTTGACCAACCAAGGACAGATTGCCCAGGTACTGCTACGGAGGATCTCTCACATGAACACGATGGGGAAATTTTGGCAGATTTATAGTCAGAGTTCACTTAATTTAGAAGAATTATAGTCAGAGCTCACTTAATTTAGCAGAATCATACTAGTTCACATTTCACTTAATTTGGATCCTCTCTACTTAATACTACTGAGGATCTCTCACATGAACACAATGGGGAATTCATTTCAGCAGAATCATAGTCATCACAATTCCACTTATTCAGATGCTCTCTACATAGTTTGAAGCTCAAGAGTATGAATGAAGAATGGAAAATTTGGCAGAACTATAGTCACAATTCACTTAATTTGGATGCTCTCTGCTTAATTTGAAGCTTACAGTATGAATGAAGAAACTTTGTTCTGTTTTCATCCTTTACAGAGACTTTGCCAGAAGTGCCATTTGAGAGAACAACACCAGCGAAAGACCACGGAATTCTCTCGGATTTCCAGCGTGAGCTCGTCGAATTAGCAAGCTTCTTGAACGGCGACTACATGTTGACGAGCTCCGCTCAGGAGACGCAGAAAAAGATGACCGTGAAGCAGGCCGACACGTATGTGAGACGAGCCATCACAGGTTTTCTGCAGGCAAGCAGGCAGGCCAGACGGTTAGGCGCAAATGAGTCTGCAATTGTTACCATGAGGTCATCTTTGACAAGTAAGAGTACCACCTCAAGTCCTTAATTAGATAAGTCAAAGGCTTAGCAAGGCTAGCATCTACAATGTTGTGAAATATTAGTATATATATGAAATGTCATGTAACACAGTTATAACCGAATAGGGGGCTGCAAGAACCTTAACTGTATAGCCCCTTTTGCCAATGTAATACTCATTTTTACCTCAAAAATGTAGAGTGCACATCTGGGGATCATTTCCTTGAATTTCGTTATGGAGGAACACATTATTATATAGTATTCATTACCGAGGAACATATTATTATATATATAACAAAAAAATACGGAGGACAATTGTCTTTGACAAATGATTACCTGGGGTGTTTGTTTGTTTTACAGTAGTTTATTGTTCACTGAGACTCATTGGGGGGATGTATAAAATTTATCTTCTTTTTTATTTATTTTAGAGTGGACATTGTTTGGTTTATATGGGCCATAACCAATTGAGCTTCTGATATCTCAACCTCTCTATGGCAAAGCCTATTAAGTAGTCAACATTTCGATCATTATTTGTACTTCTGTGAGCATGATCATCTGAAACACTAGTATAGCAGACACAGAAGAGGGGGAATCAGGAGTAGTAACTAGTTGGTTGACCCAGTGCTGGATGCCTGGATCGGTCAAGTACCTTGTGACATACCTATAACTGAATAGGGGCCTCCAGTAGCCTTCATGATACAGCCCTGTTTGCCAATTTAACTAACTTTTACATTGAAATGTAATGCACATGTGCGGACCATTTGCTTGAATTTTGTTACAGAGGAACATATTATCTCTATAACGATAAATTATAGGGGACATTTGTCTTTGGGAAAATGGTTACCTATGGTGCTTTGCTTTAAATTTGTTGTTCACTGAGAAAGTTAGACAGGCTGGAGGGATGTATGATTTCAAGTTATGGACATAATCAAGCTTAGCTTCTTACTTATTCATTTTTAATTGGCCACGGTTTGGTTCATGTGGATCATAACCCATTGGGCTTCTTATATCACAATGTTTCTTCTGCAAAGCCCAGCTAGTGCAGTGGCAGCTATTGAGGAGGGATCTATTCTGACAAGCATATCTGTTTGTTAATAGAGACCGGATTTCTTCCTCGAACATTTCAGTCGTTTGTTGTGTTTCTGTGGACATGATCATCTGCAACACCTTTGCTGATGCTGGATTCATCTTTGCATCTGTCTTTAAGACTCTGTTTTTGTTTTATCAAGTGATTGTGCTTGTTACTAACCTCATCGTTTAACCTGCAACCAAAACTTTCAGTTATATTTCCATTTTACTTTGTATTCGTGTAAGTCATAGATCACTATCATTGTGTAAAGCAGGGGACCTAGAGTAAGTAATGAAGTTCCTGATAAACCTGGAGTTGAAACAAGGTCCCTTTCATGCTTTTGATTCAGAAAGCAAGCAACCAAAGGCTTCATCATGCATGCATGGTCCATTCAGCACACCACTAGTCCATTCTTGTTTTTGCTTTGGCAGCCGACACAGACATCCCACTTACTCCCTAACCGATGCATATTCTCAGTCTCACCCACGGACACACACCGTGATCTAATCTTGTCAATATGACAGACCTATGAACAGCATGCTTTAACCTGTCAAGCCACGACAAGACAAAGACTTGGCATGAGATTTGCGGGGGTCCGGACTCTTCTGCTACTTCACCATCATCTTTCATGTTCTCGAACGCACGTCTAAATGCATGCCATTTTAATTATGATCATCTTTCATGCTTTTGCTTTTTTGCAAGAGAGGATTCTTATGAAGACAACGCTCAAATCGCCAGTAACTATTGCCTATCGGTGTAACTTGGTAACCCGGAACTTGCTTTTGCTTGCTGTTTATCAGGAACCATTTCTGCGTGGTCAGGAAAGTTAGTAAGACTTGGTGTGCGGCTATTTAGGTGTCCTCTGCCTACCCAGTTCATGGGCCTGCTTAAGTAGTTAGCTGTCCACCAAAACTAACCAATGGTTAACCTAGCTGACCTTCCTTTCTGAAGCCATGTACTCCTACATAGACAACTTTTTTTAGACAAAATTCCCCTTACCAACAATAAGTATACTCTTATCAGCTCCTATGCATGCAGTAACCTGCTGAGTTTCCTTTTTCATCAGTCTTACAAACACATTTGAATTCTGCTCTACATGTTTTATTGTGAGACACAAACATGAATGGCATGACATACTCCCACTGTAAAAAATATATAAGAGCGTTTTTAGATCACTAAAATAGTGATCTAAACGCTCTTATATTGCTTTACGGAGGGAGTACTAGTTGGCAGTTACTACTGTTAACTACTCCAGCACCAATTATTGATCCATTTAGTTTACTGGACACCAGATTGCTTAGGAACAGAAAATTCCAGCCTTTACAACTGCCTCTTAACTGCTCAAGTGAGAAGTAGTCCATTTTTTGTGCTTATGAAAGACTTGACTCTCCTTGCCCTTGCCTGATGTGGTTGAAGAGGCCATGTTTCTTCCTGGAATGAATGGAATGTGCATGCATGAAAGCTCTGCTGCAACCTCCTTTCCTCCAGCTACTGGCATTGTATGGCCACCATATAGCTCTGCTGCACAAAGAGACCGAGCATCTTCTATTCTATCCAAGGAGGAGGCGGAAGGTAGAGAGGGGAGAAGATGCAGGACTGGTCCTGTTGACACTATCTTTAACTAAAGTGGCATTTTGATTATCAAGGAAATTATCAGTAACTTGGTGGGTAAAATGACATTTTAATTAGCAGTAACTGTTGAGATTTAACAAGGAACTTACAAATAACATGCTTTAACCTGTCAAGTCACGACGAAGATTTGCGGTGGTTTGGAATTTACTAGTGCATGCTTTTAACCATCTTCTTTCATTCTCTCGAACTCGCATCTAATCGCACGTCATTTTTAGCTACCATCATCTTCCATGCTTTTGCTTTTCACCGAGACACATTTCATATTATCAGTAGCTATTGTCTAATTGTGTGAGTTGGTAACAAGGAACTTGTTGTTGCCAGCTGTTTTATCAGGAATCCTTTTTGTGTGGTCAGGAAATCTTTTTTGTGAGGATCTCTATTTAGGTGTCCTCTTCCTATCCAGTTTATTGGTCTGACTTTGAAGTGCCAGCTTAATTAATTAGGTGCCCTCACCAACCAATGGTTAACCTAGCTGACCTCCCTTTCTGAAGCCATGTATATACCCCTACACAGGCAACTTATTCCCCTTATTAGTGTCTCTTAGCTCCTATGCTTGCAGTAACCTGCTGCCTCCCTTTTCGATCAGTCTATTAAAACATCTGAATTACTGCTGTGTAATGCATGGTATGACAGGAATGAAGTCTG